GAAAAGAAGAAGAAGAAGAATGAGAAGAAGAAGAAGAATGAAAAGAAGAATGAAAAGAAGAAGAAGAAGAATGAAAAGAAGAAAAAGAAGAATGAAAAGAACAAGAATGAAAAGAAGAAGAAGAATGAAAAGAAGAATGAAAAGAAGAAGAAGAAGAATGAAAAGAAGAAGAAGAAGAATGAAAAGAAGAAGCAGAAGAAGAATGAAAAGAAGAAGAAGAAGAAGAATGAAAAGAAGAAGAAGAAGAAGAAGAATGAAAAGTAGAAGAAGAAGAATGAAAAGAAGAATGAAAAGAAGAAGAAGAAGAATGAAAAGAAGAAGAAGAAAAAAAAAGAAGAAGAAGAATGAAAAGAAGAATGAAAAGAAAAGAAGAAGAATGAAAAGAAGAATGAAAAGAAGAAGAAGAAGAATGAAAAGAAGAAGAATGAAAAGAAGAAGAAGAAGAATGAAAAAAGAAGAATGAAAAGAAGAAGAAGAAGAATGAAAAGAAGAATGAAAAGAAGAAGAAGAAGAATGAAAAGAAGAAGAATGAAAAGAAGAAGAAGAAGAAGAAAAAAGAAGAAGAAAAAGAATGAAAAGAGAAAAAGAAGAAGAATGAAAAGAAGAATGAAAAGAAGAAGAAGAAGAATGAAAAGAAGAAGAAGAAGAATGAAAAGAAGAAGAATGAAAAGAAGAATGAAAAGAAGAAGAAGAAGAATGAAAAGAAGAAGAAGAAGAATGAAAAGAAGAATGAAAAGAAGAAGAAGAATGAAAAGAAGAATGAAAGGAAGAAGAAGAATGAAAAGAAGAATGAAAAGAAGAAGAATGAAAAGTAGAATGAAAAGAAGAAGAATGAAAAGAAGAAGAAGAATGAAAAGAAGAAGAATGAAAAGAAGAATGAAAAGAAGAAGAAGAAGAATGAAAAGAAGAAGAATGAAAAGAAGAATGAAAAGAAGAAGAAGAATGAAAAGAAGAAGAAGAAGAATGAAAAAAGAAGAAGAAGAAGAAGAAGAATGAAAAGAAGAAGAAGAAGAAGAAAAAGAAGAATGAAAAGAAGAAGAAGAAGAATGAAAAGAAGAAGAAGAAGAATGAAGAAGAAGAAGAAGAAGAATGAAAAGAAGTAGGATGAGGATGAAGAAGAAGAAGTAGGATGAGGATGAAGAAGAAGAAGTAGGATGAGGATGAAGAAGAAGAAGTAGGATGAGGATGAAGAAGAAGAAGAAGAAGAAGTAGGATGAGGATGAAGAAGAAGAAGAAGAAGTAGGATGAGGATGAGGATGAAGAAGAAGAAGAAGAAGAAGAAGAAGTAGGATGAGGATGAAGAAGAAGAAGAAGTAGGATGAGGATGAAGAAGAATTCCATTCCAGCAAAAAGTGTATCTGCAGAGAGCTCCGCTATTTCTGACAGTTCTCTGACAGTTCCTTCACATTTACAGCGGTTGAAACATTGTATCTATTTGTTTCCGAATAAAAACATCTGTATCCTAAATGGAAACCAATAGATACAATGTTTCAACTGTTGTAAATGTGAAGGAACTGTCAGAGAACTGTCAGAAATAGCGGAGCTCTCTGCAGGGACACTTTTTGCCGGCTGTAGAAGGGATGAAAATCGGCGGATCGGGGAAAATTCGATTCGTGCATCCGAAGTTTGCTAATATTCGGATTCGACGCGAATCAAATTTTTCCTAATATTCGAAACGAATTCCACTTCGCCAGGTTCGATTCGCTCATCTCTACTTCTCTTAATACTAAGACATCCCTGACATCCCTTTCCTATGTGGCACAATGGGAATGAGACCTTGGATCCTCTATTGAGGGGGAAAACTAGAGCAAGGCTTGGACAATGGTAGCAAAAACTACCCTTAGTGATAAAGGCTACCTAAAGTATAAAGTTCTCCTGCAGTGGTACTGGGTCTTGGCTCAGATCACCCATGCCTATTCTGACAGCAGCGACAGATGTTTCAGGAATTGAGGTCAACATGGGGAAGTTCTGTACATTTGGTGGTCATGCCCACGTTTAATAAGCCAGGGTTTTTGCCCTATTGCAGACTTTCTTTCATGTGACGGCATGTAGGGATGCCAGAGTGGCTCTCCTACACTGTCCAATACCAGGCCTTTTCACACCCCAACAGAAATTGGCTACATATCTTTTTATCTCTGCTAAGCAGACCATTGCTCATTCCTGGATGGCTCTATCCGTTGCCTTCCAGGGTGTGAAAACCTAGATGACTGCCCTGATGGTCTATGAGCAGATGTCCAATATCCCAAAGGATTCATACACAAAGTTCCTTAAAGTCTGGGAACCTTGGATTAGCTATTTCTTCCTTTCTTTGCCTCCGACTAGCTATGGTCATTTATAGGTGTCGCCTGCCCAAGTCCCAAGTCTGTGGTACTCTCTTACACTCTTAATCTTTCCTCTCCTCTTCCTCCTTTCTTTTCTTCCATTTTTTTATACTTAGTTATCTTCTTCCATAGATGACACTTATTACTGGGGACTGTTACCCCTTAGAGGATAGCCTAGCAAAGATTGGAATATTAAACATAGCTCCTTGCTGGTCCTCCTTAGTCTTGATGGGAATTTTGTTGTTTTTACATTCATGGTGTGCCTGTTTTTACACATGATTATTCCGCTCTGCCCCTGCGTGGGCTGACCGTGAGCTTATGTTCTCTTTGAAAATACAACAAACATATTGAAACAGAGAGACATCTCAGGAACTCCTATCTGTGAGAGAATGGTGTCCTGGGTCTGGTAAGAGATTTACATTGTACAAGTTCATCTGCTGTGTGCTGGAAACTGTTTTTTTTTTTAAGAACCCCAACTTTGCCAGCTATTTTTTTTTTTATCAGTTATTGGCCAGAGGGATAAAACTGGGGTGATTCTAACAAGTTATCACTGTCTTTATATACTGTTCTGAGTAAATGCAGTTTAGTTCTGTTAATTAGTCAGAAAACTACAGGTGTGATTTTATGACTCTTGAGCTGGTGGGACTCTGCATTTGCAAATTTATGTTATTTTGTTTATTGTGTGAAACTTGGATGCATTATATTTTTTTTTTGTCTTTACAGTATAATAATTTCCAACAGCAATATTTGTGAGGCTTAAAAGGTCCTTACAAAGCAGCTTGGTCCTTAAAACACGTAAACCAAAAATACAGATCTTCTCAGTATATCTGCTTGCCTGTACAGGATGTCTTGATAGGTTTGCAGGAGACCTACATGGCACCAGTGCTGATTGGTAGTGCAATTTTTTAGCAAAAGATGAACTTATCCTTTAAGCCCTGGTTTACACTGCTGCGACATGTCATCCAACTTGTGAGAACCCAAGTCGGATGACTTGTGAAATTTAATGTTTCCCTATGAGAGCTGTGTTAACTGATGCGACACAAGTCGGTCCGACTTTAGAAAACGTTCCTGTACCACTTTGGTCCGAGTTGGGTGCGATTTCAGCCCATAGACTCTAATGTAAAGGCTCATAAATTGCATCCAAGTCAGACCAGCATGTTAATAGGTGCGACAGTGTGGTTAGAGGTCACTAGCAATTTGGACGGATGGACACAATAATTTAATCTGCAGCTGTAAACAGTGTAACAGTGGGGAAAATACATCAATACAAAAGTAAGGCACTAATTAGGGATGTATACACTAACTGAATTTGGGACCTATTGTGGAGGGGGAACCTTAATTACAGCTAGGGGCCTTTGGCACACAGGAGTGAATACTAATTGGAGGAGGCTCTGCCTATGGCCAGGAGGGATTAGGAACAAGGAATTAATACCTGGGGGTTAATAACTGGGCTGGCAGAGAACTCATATCGTGACACTCCAGATCAGTAAGCAGGAATTGATAATTGGCCGGGTCCCTATACCATGACAGAAACATTGATACACGGGTGTGTCACAAGTTAGCCTACAGTTTCTTGTTTGTGCATTCTTACCTCCTTGCTGTGGTGCTTTTTCTTACTCCCTTCACATGTGTGGTTTGTCTGTGCTCATCTATGGGTGTCGCCTGCTATTCTCTGGGTTTTATTTCCTTACCTTTCATCACTTCCTAGCCTGCCTCCTAGTTTGCTTGTCTATATAAGATATGCTCAGTCTAGCCCACTTTGCCTAAGCAACTTCTTAGTTCTCTGGGCTCCTGTTTGTTGTTACTCCTGTATCCTGTATCTGACTACCTGTTTACCAACCCCAGCTTCATCCACCGACTGTGCTTGATTTCCACCCATTCTGACCTCGGCTTGTTTATTGGATTTCCTGTTGTCTCCTGCCATTGTACTCCTGCTCATGCGAGCGTTCTCTGCATCTTCAGCTGTGCGTACCTGGGGGCCACGACCTAGTTCTAGTTTGCTGCAAGTCCATCCTCACCATCAGGGGCACTAGTGCAGAAGCAGACTGGGGCTTAGACTCCACACCCTGGGGAACCACAAGTTGGCAATCTACAAGAGTTGGCGATCTGCCACAGGTGCTTAACAGGGTGGCTGCTTGCACAAAACAAAAATCAGAATAACCAAACAACATAGCTGTCATTAGTCTAAAGTGGCTGAGATAACAGTATGTTATAATCTATTTATATATGTTATATACATATAAAATGACCCCACCCAAAAACAAAAAAACCATAAGCTGTTAGATTTCACATAATGTATGTATGTGTGTATTATAAAGTGAAGCTTCCATGCAACTTCACCAGTGGGAGACATAAAGTATGAATTGAAATTTGTTCAGAATATCGGCATCATTGGTGGAGCAGTCCAATGTGCACTATCCATGTCATGCATAAGTGAATCCTCAAAAAGGAACAAAATTGTGGAGGACGCGTCTAGCTTTAACATCAGATACTGCATTCTCCAGGCTTAAATTACCGTATTTTTCGCTCCATAAGACTCACTTTTTCCCCCCCAAAAAAGGGGGGAAAATGTCAGTACGTCTTATGGAGCGACCAGTCCGGTATTTCCGCCGCAGCCATCGCGTCAGAATACCGGGATGGCCGCTCAGCTCTTCTCTGCAGCAGGACCTTACCTATTGCTCGGTCTAGCACTGTACAGTCTTCCCACACTGGCATCTTTAGTGTGGGCACCCGGCTGTGACAGCCCACTGTGCATGCGCCAGAAGCACTGCTCTTTGTGAAAGTCCGGTGTCTTCTGGGACACATGACAGGTCCCAGAAGATGCCGGGCCATTCTCAAAGTGCAGCGCTGCTCGCGTATGTGCAGTGGGCACCTGGCTATCACAGCCGGGTGCCCACACTAAAGTGAGGAAAACTCTGTGGAAGTGGGAGCGGGTACCTGTCAAATTCAGGTACCCACTCCCCCTCCCTCCCCAAAAAGTCTGCAGTCTCTTGGTCATCCCCTATACTGTCTGCAGTCTCTAGATATCTCCTGTACTGTGTCCGCAGTCTCTGGTCATCCCCTGTACTGTGTCCGCAGTCTCTGGTCATCCCCTGTACTGTGTTTGCAGTCTCTGGTCATCTCCCGTACTGTGTCCGCAGTCTCTGGTCATCCCCTGTACTGTGTCTGCAGTCTCTGGTCATCCCCTGTACTGTGTCCGCAGTCTATGGTCATCCCCTGTACTGTGTCCGCAGTCTATGGTCATCCCCTGTACTGTGTACGCAGTCTCTGGTCATCCCCTGTACTGTGTGCGTAGTCTCTGGTCACCTCCTGTACTGTCCGCAGTCTCTGGTCATCTCCTGTACTGTGTCCGCAGTCTCTGGTCATCCCCAGTACTATGTCCGCAGTCTCTGGTCATTTCCTGTACTATGGCTACAGTCTATTGGTTCAGAATATTTTTTTTCTTGTTTTCTTCTCTAAAACGTAGGCGCGTCTTATGGTCAGGTGCGTCTTATGGAGCGAAAAATACGGTAATAGGTGTATGCAGAAAACGCCATTTATTGGCAAGAATACCATAGATACACTCCACAACTCTTCAGGCCCTGGTTAGGTGGTCATTGAAAACCCTCTTCTCCACACTCAGATTACGATTTGAGTAAGCCCTTATCAGGTGTTCACCTAACGCAAAAGCCTCATCTCCTACAAACACGTAGGGTAGAGAAGGCTCATTTGTTCCAGGTAATGGACAATTCTCTGATAGGTCAAGGTTATTTTCACGCAACATTCGACCAAAGGAAGAGTGAGAAAAAAATACTTGAGTCTGCAACTAGCTACTGGCATGATGACCCTGATGAGTTTACCGTCAATTACCGTCAGTTTACCGTAAACTTTGGTAATATTGGTCCAATCTTCTTTAATAGGCTTCTTCATGACCACATCCTTCAGTACATCCCATAATACCTGGCAGGTGCTGGGCCATCTTTAATATTGATTGGACCCTGGGCAAACATATTCTTGCCCTCCCCCATGCAATTTTGCCCTCCACCTACTCTGAGACATACAATAAATAGCAGCTAAACTCAAATCAGTTTACTGCAGCAGATATCAGGCAGCAATTGCAATTGATTGCTGGAGGTTACAGTATATCATTATGGCTCACTGACTGGTTGCTAGAGGTTATAGCACACATTATGGCTCACTGATTAGTTGCTAGAGGCTACAGCATATCATTACTGCTCACTAGTTGGTTGCTAGAGGTTACTGCATATCCTTACCGTTCACTGATTGGTTGCTAGAGGTTACTGCACATCATTATTGGTCACTGGTTGGTTGCTAGAAGTTACTGCACATTACCACTCACTGATTGGTTGTTAGAGGTTACTGCACATCATTACCACTCACCCATTGGTTGCTAGAGATTACTGCACATCCTTACCACTCACTGATTGGATGCTAGAGGTTACAGCACTTAATTACGTCTCACTGATTGGTTGCTGAAGGTTACATCACACCATCTCTTCACTTCTTGCAAACCATGGACTGAGAAGGTTAGAGGACCCACCAATATACAGAAAACTCCTAGGACTCTTTGGATCAATGGCAGTGCTAGGAGGGAGGGAGGGCGTATTCAGTGGCAGTGCTGGAGGGAATGTTGATTGGACCAGTATCAGTTGTGGGGGAATGGGATCAGTGACAGTGGTATGGAGGATGGATAACTGGCAGTTCTGGGGGGATGGAATAAGTGACAGTGCTGATGGGGGGATGGGATCAGTGGCAGTGTTTGGGGGAATAAAATCAATGGCAATGCTTGGGGTGGATTGGATCAGTAGCAGTACTGGATGGGGATGGGAGGTGGCATTTCTACACCAATCACCAATGTTAGGGGGGATTAAAACTGATGACCAATGTAAGAGGGATTTACACTGACCACCAGTGTAGGGGCAATTTGTCAGCACCTGTGATAGTGAGCTCTATGGATCCTCAACTTGGGGTTCCCCAGGGTGCGGAGTCTAAGCCCCAGCTTGCTTGTTCACCAGAGCCCCTGATGGTGGGGATGGACTTGCAGCAAGCTGGGACCAGGTCGTGGCCCCCAGGTACACCCAGCTGAGGTGGAGGAGACCACTCGTGGGAGCAGAGTATAACGGGAGAAGACAAAGGGAATCCAATAGGCAAGCCCAGGTCAGGACAGGCGGAAAACAAGCAAGGTCGGAGAACGAAGCCCGGGTCAGTACACAAGTAGACAATATAGGATACGGACAGCAGAAACACGTGGGAGCTCCAACAACTAAGAAGTTGCTCAGGCAAAGTGGCCTAGTCGGAGCACATCTTATATAGACAGGCAGACAAGGAGGCGGGACAGGAAGTGATGGAAGGGAAGGAAATAAAACCCAGAGGACAGCAGACAATGCCCATAGATGAGCACAAACACATGAGACGGGATCAGGAACAGGACTGCAGCAATAAGGTAAGAACACAAACGAAACTGTAGGCTAACTTGTGACAGTACCCCCCCCCCCCTCCCTTACGAGGTCTCCCCACTCTTTTAGGGCCAGGCTTAAGGGGAAACTTCTGATGAAAAAATTCCACCAGACGGGGTGCAGAAACATCAGAGGAAGGAATCCAACACCTCTCCCTAGGACCATATCCCTTCCAGTCAATTAGATACAAGAGCTTCCCTCTGGTGAATTTAGAATCCAAGATTTGCTTGACTTCATACTGATCTGAAGTACTCGCTATTGGGGAAGGATGACGATGGGAAAATCTGTTGATGATATACAGTTTCAGAAGAGAAACATGGAAAACATTAGGGATTCTCAAATGTGAAGGGAGGCGAAGTTTAAAAGCAACAGGATTGACCTGGCGAAGGATGGTAAAGGGACCAATGAACCGAGGAGCAAATTTCATAAAGGGTATCCATAGATGGATATTCTTGGTAGAGAGCCAAACCTTGTCACCAGGGAGAAATTTGGGACTCACCCGGAGATGACAATCTGCAGCTACTTTGTACTTGGAAGCTGACAGATGTAAGTTCTTGGAAACATTTGCCTCAGAAGGGGTAAGAATAGGAGAACATATGACAGGAAACTGGGCTGGAGCAGACACCAATAACCAGGATGAAGGGTCTGGTGAGGAGGCTGCCAGGGAGTACAGAGGAGTAGGCGTGAAGGCTTTGATTTGTACAGTGGGCAAGACAGCCTGTGCAGAACAGGAACCTGGGGTAATACAAGGGACAGAGGGCACTGTAGGGTGTATGGGGGCAGTACAGGGGACAGAGGGTACAGTAACTACTAATGTGGAAACCATGTCTGGGTCCAAAGCAGCTGAAGGGAGTTTTGGGGTCTCAGCAGGCAGGGCACATGAATCTGGGAACTCAGATGGTACAGAGGTCACAGATGTTGGGACCTCCACCCCTCCAGAAGGTAGCGACATAGGAGCCCTGAGCTACACAGTATGTAAAGGGACCAATGATTTGGGCAGTAAAGACGGTAAGGAACTAGAGGTGGACGGCACCGGAAGGGGGCCCACAATAGGAGTAAGCAGGGGAGCAGCTTTAATACAAGAAAAATCTTGTAAGGTCTGGCAATGTTGAGGGAGCATCGGAGAGGTGGTGGCCTCAGCCACGGGTACAGTGCGAGGTGGGAGCACATTAGGAAGACAAGTACGATTGCATTTTGACCCCCAAGACAATACTTGGCCAGAGTTCCAGTCAAGATTGGGTGAGTGTTTCTGCAACCATGGAAGTCCAAGAATGATGGGCTAAAAGACTTAGGGAGGATCAGGAAGGAGATTTCCTCACAATGAAGAGCGCCAAAATGCATAGTTATGGGGGTGGTTCGGAAGTGTAGAGGTCCTAAGGCCAAGGTAGAGCCATCAACTGTAGATACTGATTGGGGTGTCATCAAGGGGACAAGAGGAATGCCCAATTCAGTGGCCAAAGATTGCTGACTGAAGTTCCTGGCTGCCCCAGAGTCCACATAAGCAGAAACCTGGTACAAGTTCAGGGCCCAATGAATGGAGACAGGTATGATAAATCGAGGGAAGGTGGCGGAATTCAGGTTCTGGTCTAGATCACCTCCCTCAGAGTGACCTAGACCCGAGTTTCCCGGGCGGACAGAACATGACTTAATTAGATTACCTTCAGCCGCACAGTAAAGGAATAGACCAAATCTTAGGCGACGCAATAGCTCTTGTGTAGTGAGGTGTGTTCGGCCTAACTACTTAGGCTCTTCAGATGTCGGTACGGTTGCAGAGGTAAGTTGATCAGGGGCTTTCAGGAAAACAGGAGCAAAAGTACCCACTGGGGGGGGTGACGTGGACGAACCCTTTCCAGATCTTGCTCCTGGAAGTGGATATCGATTTGGATGCTAAAAGCAATCAAGTCATCCAGGGTGGTGGGTATGGTTCTTCCAGCTAGTTCATCCTTATTACGGTCTGCTAGACCCTGCCAAAAGGTTGCAAAGAGGGCCTTATTATTCCATGCCAGTTCCAAAGCTAAGGTGCGAAACTGAACTTCATATTGTCCACAAGTCTTGCTACCTTGCCGAAGCTGAAGAAGAGCTCCTGCGGCAGATGAACTCCTGCCGGGTACATCAAAGGTTTTACGGAAAGCTTGCAGGAAGGCTTGTAGACTGCAAATAGTTGGATCTTGATGTTCCCACAGTGGCGAGGCCCAAGCCAGTGCTTTGCCAGAAAGGAGGGAAATCATGTAAGCCACCTTGGAACGGTCAGTAGAAAAATAGTGGGCTGCTAGCTCGAAGTGAATGAGCACTGATTGATGAAGCCCCGACAAGCTTTGGGATCACCAGATAAGTGAGGCGGTGGAGGCAGCTGGAGTCTCGAAGGACAGTGTTTCACTGGGGGAATAGCGGAAGGTGGAGACGCAGGAACCAAAACAGAGGGTGAGGAAGTGGACACAACCTGTAGCTGATCCAACCGGGAGTAGAGTTTCTGCAGACAGTGCATGATTTGTTCTTGGAAGGCCTGCTGAACATCGACTCTCTGCGCCAAACACTGAAGTTGTTCCAGGAGAGGCTGCGGTATCTCCGAGGAGCTCATGGCCTGAGAAAACTGTCAGCACCTGTGATAGTGAGCTCTATGGATCCTCAACTTGGGGTTCCCCAAGGCGCGGAGTCTAAGCCCCAGCCTGCTTGTTCCCCAGAGCCCCTGATGGTGGGGATGGCCTTGCAGCAAGTTGGGACCAGGTCGCAGCCCCCAGGTAGACCCAGCTGAGGTGGAGGAGAGTATAATGGGAGAAGACAAAGGGAATCCAATAACAAAGTAAATAAGGGTAATTGCGAGCACAATACACATATAAGCAGCCAGCATATAAAAGGTAAACCTCTGCACCTCTAAAAAAAACAGTATATAATAATAAATATGCAGCGCTGGGTTATAATATATAATAAAATAATATAAAGTGAGCGCTACTGAGGCGCATATATGGTGATGTGATAAGTACGTCTTATGGTGACGCTTCAATATGACAAGAACATAAATTCTGTGACAGACGTGGATAGTTCATTCAAAAATTGTAACGTAGGTCCTTATGAAACTGTGATCTGTGCTCCATGCTGGTAACTTCAAGTGACGAGAACCAGTAAAATTATGCACTTACCAGAAGCGCATAATTAATGCGCATGAAAAAGATGTATCCTTTAGGGGTCATCTAGGTCTGGTTTAGGACTGCAGGGTCATCAAGCTCCATGTGGACACATAGGATGATACTGCTCACACACAGGTCACACTCTGCTGTTATCTTGGAGCTGTTTCTGATGGGTATGTGAGCAAACAAGGACGCACCAGATCCAGAAAGGATTCCACCTTTGAGGGGCTCGTAATTACCAAGCCAAAAACAAATAGGTGCCTAAAGTGTAGTACGTTTTATTAATGTAGGCGAAAATCCAGAAGGTAAAATAGTAAACTCAAATGTGGTTAAGTAAACAAATATGGCCACCTTCCTCGTGGCCGTGTGCGTCGTGCCGTCACTCTAGTGGGCTCCTCTCTGACGCGTTTTGTACACCAGCACGTTGCCAAAGGGGTGAGCCCACCCAGAGGACGCCAGGACTTAAATACCACTCTGCGCATGCGCGAGTGCACATCATATAGGAGATGTACGCATGCGTGGGGCGCGCGTCATATCTGAGCTACGCTCCTGCACGAACGGGAGACAAGCCGGGATAAGGGACAACCTGGAAATGATGCATACTTAAAATGAAGAGTGCTTAGATTGCCAATTTATTAATATGCAGGTTTTTAACAGGGGAAACCAAGCGGTATGGTTATATTTAATAGGGGAAACTAGCAGTAAAAATATTGGATAAAACAATATGTGGGGATTAAAACAGCGGTAGCCGCCATTTTAATGTAGACCAACAGTCTTGTATACAATAAGATGTAACACTAGAAAAAATACATATAGAACGGTTTCCATTTTTTTGTAGACCAAAGGGTAATAAAAAGTGCTGGGTATCCGATGTTGACTACAAGTCCCAGTGGATTTGAAGTATAAATATATATAAAATGATTTAAGAGGCAAAATTGGCAATCTAGCAATTAAATACAGATACAACAATAAACAATAAAAGGATATTACATAAACAATCTGGATTAAAATCATATGCAATGTAATTAAATTATTACTAAATTAAAAATCATTAAAATCCAACTGTGGCATAATAACTCATGGGTACATATAAGAGCATTCCTAAGCATAAAATTGTAAAATATTATAATAATAAAATTATCAAAGATAAAAGCAACAACTGCACAAAAATAGATTACACCGGAGAATATAGATGCAACTCCTGCACATAAGTAGATAAAGTGCAGGGTCCGTAAGATAACATAAATGGCAAGGTGATGAGATTAAAATAATATGAATTTAAAAAAATGAATTAATCTGAAAGTAAAAATGAAGTGAAATAGAATAGAGTAGAAATAACACAGATCAACAATTGTCAATGAAGCAGTTTATGTCTAGATCTATGTTAAGGCCGTATGGGGACAGGGATCTGATTTGATGATCCATTATATTTCCAATTGAGAAACAGCTCTCCTTTTATGTCCCCCTCTCCATTGCAGCTTGATAAGATCAATACCTGTAAACTTCAGATGGGTAGGGTCTCTCTGCCATGATAGTCTTGGAAGTGCTTAGAAAGTGAGTGCTCTTTATAGCACTTCTTGATGTTATAATAGTGCTCCCTGAGCCTGTCTCTAACTCTCCTTGTGGTACTACCCACGTACTGTTTGTTACAAGAACATTCCAGTAGATAAACTACATGCGTGCTGTTGCACGTAATAAGTGGGTTAATTTTATAGATCTTACCCATAGTGTTAGACTTAAACTCTACTATCTTTCTTTTATGGGAGCCATGGTACTGGCAGGTTACACACCTATTACATGGAAAGAAGCCATTCCATCCAAATGATGATGTCATGCTTCTAGGTGGATCTACCATGTTGGGTGCCAGTGTGTGTCTCAGGGAGGGGGCTTTACGGAAGGTGATTTCTGGGCGAACGGGTAACACCTCATCTAAAATCGGGTCGTTTTTCAAGATTGCCCAATTCTTAATAATCTTAGCCACATCCCTATATTAAGTGGAGAAGTTTGTTATAAATGGACAAACACGTTCAGACCTAATTTTTCTCTCTGACGTAAGTAGATTAGATCTGTTTAGGGCACCAACTTCTTCAATAGTGTTATTAAGAACCTCAGTACTGTAACCTTTTTCTAAGAACCTGGTTTTAAGAATACCTGCTTGGTTATGGTAATTGGATAGATTGGCACAGTTTCTCCGTAATCTGAGAAATTGACCCTTTGGTATATTGTTTAACTATACCGAATGGTGGCAACTGTCTATGGGCAAAAAACTGTTCCTATCCATGCTTTTAAAATAGGTTTTAGTTATAATGTTAGCGCCATCGTTAATTAAAACCAGGTCAAGGAAATTGATTTCTTTAAAATCATATTGAAAAGATAATTTAAAGTTTATAGTTATAGTTAAGAGTTGTAAAAAAATTATTAATGAAAACTCATCACCTTGCCCTAAGAGAAATGTATATGCCGATAGTAAAATATTAAGGAGGGCCAGTCGCGAGAATAAATAAGGTCCTCCTCCCACCTTGCCATGAACATATTTGCTAGGCTGGGAGCAAATTTGGCTCCCATCGCTACACCAGTGATTTGCAAATAAAACGCATGGTAAAACCAGAAGTAGTTGGGATGCATAGCAAAATTAAGCAAGTCTAAAATTTTAATTTTTTGTCACCTGGGTATATCAGTAGTCATATCAAAATAAAACTTAACTGCTTCCATCCCGTCCTCATGTTTGATGTTGCTGTAGAGGGCAGAAACATCAGCTGTAACTAGATATGTCTTGTTAGTGACTTTAAAATCTTTCAGGTCTACCAATATTTGTTTTGTATCTGTCAGGGCTCCCGGGGTATGACCAGAGGTATGTGACTGACGCAGGGAAACGCAGGCTTCAGATATGTTATAAACAATACGATTTATTAACACTAACAATACATAAACGCAGTGCAATACTAAAACATAACACAGTGCAAACAAACCAAACCAAACCACCCACAGATAACAGTACATACAATGCAAGCGTCGTCAGGCAGGCCGGGTCAATAACAAAGGGGCAGGTAGGAACAGGAGGAGCAGGCAGAGAGTAGTCAGGTCACGAGCCGGGTACAGCAACTAACAGGCAGGTAGGTACAGGGGGTCAGGCAGAGAATGGTCGGGGTCACAAGCCAGGGGTCAGAACAGGAGAGGTCAGCAGAGGTCAGGATCAAACAGGGTCAGCAACAAGACAGGAACAGGAACAGGAACAGGAATGCAGGAACAAGATACAGGGCCCAGGAAAAACACACACCAAGGCAGAGTCTGCAGGTCTGGCCATCCCTTAAATACACCAGCATAAGCAGTTTCAGGTGTTTGACTGGCTGCAAGGTTGAGTCTCTGATTGCTGGGAGCACCCGCTGGCCAGCCCTGGTACTGCAGCCCATAAGGCAGGTGAGTCCCACCGTTGCTGGCCAGTCCATTCCTGACAGTACCCCCCCTCAAGGAGCGGCCTCAGGACGCTCCAAACAGTCCTAGCTGGGCAAAATGTTCCACCGCCCGGGTCTGGTAACTGGCGGAATATCAAAGAGTGGCACACCGGGCAGGACTCCGGGCAGGACTCCGGGCAGCGGCACACCGGGCAGGACTCCGGGCAGAGGCACATCGGGCAGCGGCACACCGGGCAGAGGCACATCGGGCAGCGGCACTCCGGGCAGAGGCACATCGGGCAGCGGCACATCGGGCTGGACTCCGGGCAGCGGCACATCGGGCTGGACTCCGGGCAGCGGCACATCGGGCTGGACTCTGGGCAGCGGCACATCGGGCAGGACTCCGGGCAGAGGCACATCGGGCTGGACTCCGGGCAGAGGCACATCGGGCTGGACTCCGGGCAGAGGCACATCGGGCTGGACTCCGGGCAGAGGCACATCGGGCTGGACTCCGGGCAGAGGCACATCGGGCTGGACTCCGGGCAGAGGCACATCGGATCACCAGGCGAAGCAGCAGGCACCGGGCCACCAGGCGGAGCAGCAGGCAGCGGGCCCCCAGGCGGAGCAGCAGGCACCGGGCCCCCAGGCGGAGCAGCAGGCACCGGGCCCCCAGGAGGGGCGACAGGCACTGGGCCCCCAGGCGGGGCGACAGGCATCGGGCCCCCAGGCGGGGCGACAGGCATCGGGCCCCCAGGCGGGGCGACAGGCATCGGGCCCCCAGACGGGGCGACAGGCATCGGGCCCCCAGGCGGAGCGTCAGGCATCGGGCCCCCAGGCGGAGCGACAGGTCTCGGGCCCCCAGGCGGAGCGGCGGGCGCCGGACCCCCAGGCGGAGCGACAGGTCTCGGGCCCCCAGGCGGGAGCGGCGGGCGCCGGACCCCCCAGGCGGAGCGACAGGTCTCGGGCCCCCAGGCGGAGCGGCGGGCGCCGGACCCCCAGGCGGAGCGACAGGTCTCGGGTCCCCAGGCGGAGCAGCGGGCGCCGGACCCCCAGGCGGAGCGACAGGTCTCGGGCCCCCAGGCGGAGCGGCGGGCGCCGGACCCCCAGGCGGAGCGACAGGTCTCAGGCCCCCAGGCAGAGCGACAGGTCTCAGACCCCCAGGCGGAGCGACAGGTCTCAGACCCCCAGGCGGAGCGACAGGTCTCAGACCCCCAGGCGGAGCGACAGGTCTCAGGCCCCCAGGCGGAGCGACAGGTCTCAGGCCCCCAGGCGGAGCGACAGGTCTCAGGCCCCCAGGCGGAGCGACAGGTCTCAGGTCCCCAGGCGGAGCGACAGGTCTCAGGCCCCCAGGCAGAGCGGCGGGCACCGGACCCCCAGGCGGAGCGACAGGTCTCAGGCCCCCAGGTGGAGCGACAGGTCTCAGGCCCCCAGGCAGAGCGGCGTGCGCCGGACCCCCAGGCGGAGCGACAGGTCTCGGGCCCCCAGGCGGAGCGGCGGGCGCCGGACCCCCAGGCGGAGCAACAGGTCTCAGGCCCCCAGGCGGAGCGTCGGGCGCCGGACCCCCAGGCGGAGCGACAGGTCTCGGGCCCCCAGGCGGAGCGGCGGGCGCCGGACCCCCAGGCGGAGTGACAGGTCTCGGGCCCCCAGGCGGAGCGGCGGGGTCGGTACACAAGTAGACAATACAGGATACAGACAGCAGAACCACGTGGGAGCTCCAACAACGAAAACATTGCTCAGGCAAAGTGGCCTAGTCTGAGCACATCTTATATAGACAGGCAGACAAGGAGGCGGGACAGGAAGTGATGGAAGGGAAGGAAATAAAACCCAGAGGAGAGCAGAAGACGCCCATAGATGAGCACAGGCAAACACATGAGAAGGGAACAGGAACAGGACTGCAAGGTAAGAACACAAACGAAACTGCAGGCTAACTTGTGACACAATTCTGCACTTACCACCAATGTAAAGAGAAATTTACACTGGCCACCAATGTAATGGGGAATTTGCACTGACCACCAATGTAATGGAGGATTTTACACCAAAAACCAATAAGTTTCTACACTGGCCACCAATGTAAGGGGGAATTTACATTGACCACCAGCAGAGGTGTTGGTGGCTAGAATGTTGGGGGGGAGGCATATTATACATATGAATGCCACATTGTCACCACTATTTAAATATGAATGCCACATTGCCACCACTATTTACATATGAATGCCACCATTATTTACATGTGAATGCTGACACAGTCTGCACATGTGAGTTATCTGTACATGGCAATAGGACAGAGCTGGGCAGCATAAGTGACAACACTTCACACTGAAAAACACTCAGGAAATCAAACATAAAAAGACCTTACACCCCGGTCACATCAAAGCCGATTTGAAAATTGTGCAACATACAGTGAAGATGCCGATTTCCTTGTGATTTGCAAGACATCCGACACAGATATCTATGCAAATCACCACAAAAGTAGTACTTGTAAATCAGTGTCAGAAATGCACCCATGTGGCTGCTCTAATAGCAGACAATAGGGTGCGACTTGGCATATGATTTGAAAGTCGCATGTCATGCAAATCGCATGCCAAGTCACATCCAGGGTGCACAATTTCAGGTGCGATTTGGGAACTGAAATTGTACCTGATATTGGATCTAATGAATGTGGATGCGAGTGTCTTAACATAAGTGATTTGCTGCAGCACAATTTCAAATGTTGTTCTTGTCTACCTTTTTCAGCATTTTGTAGCGATTACATATATATAGACTACAATAGAAACCGCAGTGCAAAAACACAATTGAAAATTCAATAACTCATTGGTAAATCTACAGAAAATATGGTGAAATTGCCAACAAAAAGCACAATTTTAAATCGCATCTAGTGTGAACCAAGCAGGCAATTCAACAAAGGAAATAAATCTACTTCGGGGGACATTGTTTTATTAAAGGACTTGTCAAAGACCCTGTACTGTGTTTTTTTTTACACTACACTTTTGCTTTTTTTTGTGAATGAGTAGCCAGTAGGACCATGTACCGCATACTCATTCACGTAGGGGGGGGGCGGGATCTGGGGGCCCCCTTGTTAAAGGGGATTTCCAGATTCTGATAAGACCCCTGTCCGCAGACCCCCACAACCACCAGCCAGGCTTGTGGGGAAGAGGCCCATGTCCCCATCAACATGGGGACAAGGTGCTTTGGGGGAGGGGGAGCCCCCCTGCCCCAAAGCACCCCCCCATGTTGACGGCGTGTGGCCTGGTATGGTTCAGGAGGGGGGTGCTCGCTCGCCCCCCCCTTTCCTAACCTGCCGGGCTGCATGCTCGGATAAGGGTTTGGTATGGATTTTAGGGGGAACCCCACACTGTTTTTTCTTTAATTTCGGCATGGAGTTCCCCCTTAATATCCATACCAGACTCGAAGGGCTTGGTATGGATGGGAGGGGGGGACCCCATGCATTTTTTTTTTGTTGCAGACCTTCGAAAATAAGTAAAATCATTACAGAAATAATTATAAAGGATAAGAAACAAAAATAGAATCAATAGAACTAAGGAAATCAATTTAGAATACATAAAGATATGCCTAGTGCTGTTTGTTAAACCTGGTAGACGCGACCGAGTGCCGGCTGTCAGAGGACTCCACACTGAGATTTACTATTGAGCAGCGTCTAAAAAGCAAGTGCCCACAGAGGACGTCTAAAATGTGTTCTGCACATGCGCATTTATATCAGCCAAAGACACTGCACAAGCGTCTAGTTTTTCACTGTGTCGACTTGCTTAAAAAAAGCTATTTTTAACACATTTTAAATTTTTTTGAAATGGCAGATATTGTTTAAAGTGAAGTCCTGATATTTGGCAATGCAAATTTCAATGTGAACATGTTTCTGCAGTGATTTTTCATGGTGTTAGACGTGCCTCTTAGCAAGTCTGCTTTTTGAGTCGGATTCCTGGTCTGTGTCTCATTAGTAAATTCGATTTGGCGTCTACTTGTTGACGCTTCTCTTTAGTAAATCTCTTAGCAGGGTAAAAGTAGACGGTCGCCACTAAAAAATAGACGTTCGCCCACGGAAATGCGCCTAGGCACAATAGTAAATCACGGTCCTAGTGTCTTTATTCAACCAATAAAACTATAAAAAAAAAGTGTCGGTGCTCAGTAATAAAAGATTAGCTGCTAGCAAAAAATGTTCATACACAAAACACCAAAATAATACATAAATACAATTGTTTGCAGTGCTAATAAAAAAAAAAAAACAACAACACCCGTGACAAGTGTGTTAATCAAAAAAGGAATAAACAGTCCAACAATATCAATTATTTAAGGACAGTCTTCCCCTCTGTGACTTTTCTTCACATAGTGACTTAGATAGTGCTTGAACTCCACCTTAAATAAAAATGCACACTCACCGGACATAATTGCTGTCTAAATGAAAAGAACAGCAAACATCATTTTGTTAAACAATGAAGCTCTTCTCCAAGAAAAGGTGCTCCAATCTCTGTCTACCACTCTCTTAGACCGTTGAGACCACAGAAGACCATCAACAATAAAAAAGGTCTTATAATGTAGTCATTTTATTAAAAACAGATATCTACAACCAATAACATACTGGACATATGTTAAAACATCTGACCAAAAGGAATTCACTTACATATTTAGCCGCCAAAACACACATGAAAGTGGCGGCGGGACCTCTGGCGTATCAAAATAGAATCTCTCTCATTTTATTTGCTAGGTATTTCCCTGCTTTGTTTCCATTAGAGTAGTAGTTGAGTTTTAATCTATGCGTACCTCTATCAAATTGGTACATTAGTAAGGAGCATAATTTGTTCCTTAGTCTGAAGAGTGTATTCGAGGTGGTGTGATTGACTTGAGCTTTATTTTCCATTTCTAGTTTGCGAATATCCTCTAGTAAGTCATTATCTGTTTATTTAGTTGCTTTTTAGCTTTAGCGCACATTTGTAAAATTATAGCACATATCTATGCTTTGTGAGTGCACCAAAGGGTGCCAGAGTTTGATGCAGATTGCGAATTTATATGGAAGAACTCCTCAAGATGTTTTTCAAGTATCAAGTTATTGTTGGGGATTTTTCTAATGGACAAATTTACGCCCCAGAGGTTGTGTGGTTTCAAAAAGTGGTTATCCGAAATTATGGTTATAGTATTTGAAACCGGCGCATGGTCTGACCATGTTATATTGCCTATGGTTGATGTGGTAACATTTTGCAGTAGCCATTTATCTACTAATGTAAGGTCAATTCTTGAATAAAATTGCTGTCTAGTTGAAAAAAAGGTGTAATCTCTTTCACCTGCATGTTGACACCTCCAAACATCATAGACATCTTCATTTATTAGAAAGGGGTATAGGGTTGGGGTAGTCTTTTTTTGAGATTTTGTTCAGTCTAGGTTTCTGTCAACTATGAGGTTGAAGTCACTGCATAGTATAAGGGAACCAGAATGATTTTTGGAGATTAGTTTGAATAGCTTGTTAAAGTATCTTTTTTGATAAGTACTAGGTGCATATGAATTTACAATAGTGTAATCTGTATTATCTATTGTACATATAAGAACCAGGTACCAGCCTTCAGGGTCTGAGATACAGTATTTTTATGAAGAACAAAGTTTAGTGTATTTCTAATAACAGTGAGTACTCCTCTTTTTTTTCAGAGGCATTGGCATTATATACATATGGAAACTTTTTGTGTGAGCATTTAGGAGGGGCCTAATCTATGAGTCTCTTGAACACAGAGTATATCACATTTATATTTAAATGCCTGTTTCCACATGTTTGTACTTGGCAGGATGATTCAAGCTATTGACATTAATAGAGATAATTTTTATACCCATTGAATAGATATATTTATCGATATTAATCGGGGCTTAACCAAGGTGCCCCTAAAGCGGTAATACATTTATATGCATATGTCAGTTAAACCATTTAGACTATCAGGAATTACACGATAGTAGAAACAAAAAGGTAAAAAATAAACAAATACAGATAGCTGAACAGATAACAAATCAGTAAAAAATAGGATCCTAACCAAGATCCGAACACAATAAAAATTGTGTAGTGCTTTTGGGGCAAAAACAAAAACAAGTGACCTTGCCATTAGCAGGCATACTTACAGGTAGTGTGTTCGGTAAGGGTAGTACCCTCGGTATCTTGCTTAAACATGTGAAATTACATCTAATGAATTACATCAAATGAAATACCTGCATACTAGAACTAAAATACCGTATCTTATCAACCCAAAAGATAAAACTAAAATCACTAATCTTCAAGAAATAGCAAATTCATTTGCTAGTTACTACAATTCACTTTATAACCTAAATCAAGACCAATCCACTCTCCGACCTTCTCTAGAAAACATAGAAGCATTTTTACAAATATATGTTGCGCTCCTAAATACTTCTCAATAAATAATAATTAAATTATTACCATTAAATTAATTCAAATTATGATACAAATAACTAATAAAAGTGTATAAATACCAAAAAATATTTAAATAGATAATTTCAACTAATCAATCTCCTCCAAATAAATATCAAAATAATTCCACATGAAATACTCCTCTAAAAAAAATATTTTACCAAGTGCTCATAAATCATCTATTAGTGACATGATGTACTTACTAATACCCTCAATTTCATTTATATTCATAATACCCTCATTTAATACAATAAAAATAATTAAACCAACTAATAACCCTCAACTAAAACACATTTAAATGATCCCCCATAACTAAAAATAACCAAATGCTCATAAATAATTAGTAGTGATTAGTATGAATCCAAATATCATCAAAATAATAGTCCCATTGAATAA